TTAGTGATGCAAAGGCTGCTGTTATATTAGTTGTCTTCATCTGCATTTGTTCGTGTGTGTGGGATAGAAAGGCCAGGTCATCTGCGAAGTTCGAATCTTCTAATTGATTCTGAGCTGTCCATTTTACTCCTTGCTTTCCCATCTGATGTCGAGGTCTTCATAACCCAGTCGATCAAATCAGTGCAGTATTTATTTTAATTTCAAAGGGATATCTTATTCAAGATTGAATTAGATTCAGCATGAAACTTTGTTAGAATTTCATATCTATGACTTTTTTCATAATCAACAATCAAAATGAGTGTACAAATTGTTATAACTTGTGGCCTGAGCTCCCTGTTAATGTATAACGTAACGATACCGCCAATCAGAGCAGGGACTTATCGATCGGACCAATAACGCGTAAACCCGTACAAGCAGTCTAGACTCCTAATTGGTCCTGCCTTCCACCTAGCCCAGCCAGTTAAGTCCAGAACACCAATCCAAGCCTCTGCGATATGAATTATGTATTTCAGACATATTAGTTTTATAATATACCAATCAAACAGACCATATCGTACCATAAAATAGGAAACAACGTTTATACAAGATTTGGCCAAATGTGGCTGAGTGTGGGAGGTAGTGATTAATAGACAGGGAATAATTCAAGAATGGTATATCGTATGATAACGGTTCATAGGTTAAAATACAGCTCATAATAAGCGGGACATGAATATGAACAGCTTAGTTATTTAACAATTATACGTAAAAATATACGTATAGTATTGGTTCATAAAAGGATCCCAAAAGTTACCATTCATTATGCTTAACGGGACCTAACACAAATCAATATATGAGTGTATTTTCTACTAGGTTCGTTGTGTTTTTGGAGTGACTAAATATTCATTTGAACCAGTGTTCCGTGTTTGTAATTCGCATCTTGGGAATAGTAATAGTTCTTTGTTTTCAAGTATATGTAATAGGCGATGTGGATATATCGTTTGTTGATCACTAAAAACCATATTCAAGGTTTTCTTGTTCAGAAACAAATTGAACTCATATAAAGCTTAATCGTTGAATTCATGAGTCGATTAAAGCTAGAACATCATGGAAAACCTTGAAGCATTAGACGGCTGTTTTATCTTAGTATAAAGTTGTCAAAGAATAAACCGGATTTACCTTTCATTCATAGAAATGTCTACTCGATTCTGATTAAAAGAAATTAATCAGGTTAGTGTGTAACGTTTAAACCACTGAGTTGAAAAAAAAGGACAACATTTCTAACTTCAATCGATTTATTATATTCAATTATCCTAAAGGGCTCCATACTAAAACAAAACGTATGTTTAGTGAACCCCAACTTTTAGTTGCTATTTAACTATAACATCTCAGTAATATATGTTACATGAATGGGTGGTGTTTACAGTTGGTTAACATTTATGTAACATAAGCTTTTGGATAAAAATCTTGTAAATAGCGTCTTCATGTAAAAGACTTATTTAAAGAATGGCTCTGAATGATTGAACAGGAATATTCTTATTTCTATAATTTATACCACTAACTGACCATAGTTAGATAACGATTTAAAATCAGGAAGTACTGAAAAGTTGTTTCGGCCTTCTCAGTAGTGAGCATCAGTCACACTATTCATGCTTCAGGTTTCTTAAACAACCGTGACCAGAGGGATTAATCACTTTTGAGTATGAGACAGTTGCCAAACAATAGCACTAAAAAAAACAGTTACACAATATTGTGTATTGATGAAAATAGTTAGATACCTGCTTAATAGTCTAAAAGTTAAGCAACCTTTGCGTGACTTGAATATCCTGAGTAAGAACCCTGGTGAAGTCTTGTTTATACACTTCTCAAGAAAAGCATACTACTAAATGCTTCCTTATTTCTCAAGCTAGATCAATATGAGCTACTAAATTTAACCATTTTCACAAACATCCTACAGTGTAAATTGTTTTGTCTAATAATTTTAGTACATACAATTTTCCTTTTATGAATTCATGTGTGTATAAACGTGAAGAAAAGAGTTTGGGAAATGACATCAAAACTTCTATTTACAGGAAAAAGTAACTTTTGGAAATTTCGACAACAAATAGTATGACCTTCATTTAAATGACTGCAAACCTGTCTCATATTTCCTTTCTTCCGATTGATGTTTGGGACAACAATTGAATAATATTCTCTTGGTATATGTGCATCCTGTGTAGATTGTCTCGATGTTCTTAGTAAGTCACTACTAATTTTTAAGCAGAGATGGATGGTGGTTAATAGTGAAATCCATGACGCTCGTTTAATCCTATTTCGGACTCATCACCTGAATATTCACCGTGGGATCTAATACCGTTTGCTTCAAATGACATCGAGGTATCCAAATAGCTATTAAGTCCATCACTGTGAATTACTGGGAATATCGAGGCAGTCCTCAATTGCAGCTCTGAACATCAATGAGAAGATCTAAGAAACTAATATATATATATATATATATATATATATATATATATATATATATATATATATATATATTAAAGTTAAAAATCACCTCATTGCACAAGCCAGTGGCTATCTGGACTCAGTAACTAAGTGGATGACGCTGTGACATTTGAACCGAAAGATACTGCGTTCGAGTCCCAGAGTGAACATACACTGCGTCTCACTACTATCCACTATCCATCTCCATTTTAAAATTCATCTGCCAATCTAGACCACAGTAGAATCAAACGTATTCCACCAAGTTTATTTTAAATTAATGATGGATAGTCAAAATAAAGATACGATATACAGGTTTTAGACAGGTTGACACAGATAAATTAGATTTATCCAAATGTGTTTATGTTCAACTAATTACAGCTTAGACTGGTTGAATACGTTAGATACTAATTAAGTTAACTTATCATCTACTGCTAATAATCACTCAAGATTAAATATTGATAGTCAGATGAATCGAACATTTCAGAAGTTTGAGCTGTTTCAATTTAACTGAATAACCATCAATGGTAATAATTTAGATTGTATGACATCGATGAGTGAATGTGATGGTAACACAGATAGTGATAAATGATTCTTTCACTATTTTGTAAATTGTCTGAATTCAGATCAATGGACTAGTATATTCTGAAACATTGAGTTCAAAGATGAAATGCTCTCAACTAGACCTGACCATCCTCAATTCAATATCGTTTACTGTACAAAGAATGGGTAGTTTTCAAAGTCTTAATGTAGAACATAGTAGCTACCCAGTACTTATTCATATTAGTTCATGATGAAACCTGTCTTTAAATAACAATCGATTTCTATAAATCCCTCAATTATATTCATATTCAAAACCATCCAAAACATTGACCAGATACAACATTTCACTCCACAGTCTTATTCTACACTTTCATAGAAGACAGATAAAATCCAATTGATTTTGGAAAGTATGATTATTTTTTGTTTAATCAAAAGAAGTTTAGCAAGTATATTCATACAAGATACTTGTGATACTTTTAAGTAATCTGATCCTGTTATTGTGATAATCCAATCTACTTCAAACTGAATAAAAATTTGTACCGTTTACATAAGTGATTGATTGTTTCCACTTAGTAGTGTATTAAAGACGGCAATGAGACTTTTAAAACAATCAATAGCGGGTTTGAGTCCTAGAGTGAACATTAAATTTGAATGGAACTAGTTTAGCTTTATAATAAACAATTGACAACTACCGAATTGTTTGTAAGTTTTATTGACATGTACTATTCCTAATAGGTGGAGTACCATTTAAAGTCAATCTTTACTGAATAGTTGTCTCATTCCAGTCAGAAATGTTATTGTAGTACAGTTACAATTAATGTTCCATCTTTAATAAAGCTTAAAATCATTCTATCTTGCTTTAAACATGTTTCGATGGCGGTTCTACGTTGAAACTCACAATTTAATCATTCCCAACTTGAGTTAATTTTTACAATATAACACTAACAATTCACTTGCTATTGTTTGCTTGTATTTCAGAGTGAGCATTAACTCTAGGATGCAGGTACATTCAGTTTACGAGTCTTTAACTGGATTCCATTTCTGGCCACTCTCCATCTTTGCTTATATCACCAACAATGTTAGATATTATCGTCAATCGGAAACTGTCACACTCTCTACATTACGTAGACATTATATATGTAAATACAGGTAAAAAAAACATACTTTAATCATCAGTAGTGGCATTATACTGTGATATTTTATATTTCTGATAAATAAACCCAACAACTGTATTGAGTTTTTATAAACTATTTACGTTAGAAATCCGATCGAACACAGTGAGTACTATATACATAGCCTGTTTTTAATTATCCTAACACCACACATATCAACGTCTTTTATTAAGATTGTGTAGTTTTCCCAGGTTTTTGCCATGACATGAGATATCGTTACTTTCAAGATTAACAAACTAATTATTAACTACTGTTACTACTACTACTACTACTACATCCCGTTACATATAGCTGATAGTGATTTCACTCCTTAACTACTTAAATGTCTAAGTAGTATGGTTTACTAATTCTGCAAAACTTTTAGATATTATTCCAGTTAAATACATGAAGATAAAAACTCAGTCTTAAAAAATATATAAACTAGAATGACACAATAAGTAAAGATGGATGGTGGCTAACAGTGGAATCCAGTTTGGTGCACGTTTCGTTCTATTTAAGACACGTCAACTGGATGTATCTGCATCTCAAACTTGTTGATGTTCACTCCGAGACTCGAACCCAGCACCGTTGTCTTCAAACACTATCACATTATCCACTTAGCTACTGAATCCAGAAACCCACTTGAGAAGGTTAAATTCACTATGTATTGTTTTAGTTGAATCTTCCCATTGATGTTCAGGGCTGCAATTGTCTAAATTCAAAAGCAATTCACAACATAATTTTTTAAATGATCTACAAATTATTGTATTTAAACAAAAGAAATTCAAGGTCATCATTGAACTGTTCCATCATTATGATTATTATTATTATAATTATTATCATGAGCGGAATTTAAACATAAGATCGATATTCCAGTAATGGTTTCACTTTATCCATATGAACTTGATCACAATCTATTCCATCATAATAAAGATTAGTTAAAGAGTTTGGCTTTGAATGATTACAATATTGTGTTGATAATTTATTATATGAACAAAATAATGAATTAGGCATTGAATCATGTAAATTTAAATTAGATCGATTATGATATTCATAATTGATAGGTTTAATATAAAATGAATTCTGTTTGTTACTATGTAAATGTGTTGGATATTGTTTTAATGAATTCAAATCATGTTGATGTAAATGATGATCATCATCATAATTATGATCATGATCATGATCATGATGATAATGATTAGTATTATCATATGTTGTTTCTAGATCTGTTTCATTTTGTATTTCTGTGTTATCTCCTTCCGTAAGTAACTTATGAAAATGACAATTTGGTATATATCTTTCAGTAGTTGAATCTTCTGATTGATCATTTATATTCTTGTTATGACTTTCTAATTGATTTATTAGATGAGAGCTAGTATCATGATATTGTTTTGAATTATACTCAGTGTGATCATGCTGTTGTTGCTGCTCCTGCTGTTGTTGCTGCTGCTGCTGCTGCTGATGATGATGATGATGATGATGAGGATGATGTTGATGTGAAGGTGGCTTTTTTATCATTTTCCCATGTATATTTTGTATAGAATCATTTGGTATGTTTGAATTAGACGGTGTAATAATTCTTGACATTGATTTTCTTGGATTTAATGATAATAGGGTAGTTTTAAGTAGTTTAGATGTATTAAATTTTAATAATCCATAAAAATTCTGTCTAAACTCTTGACAAAATCCAATACATATAGGCATTAATAAAGCAGCTATAAAATCACCTAATTCAATACCAATTACTTTAGCGGATAACATTAGAAAAAATCTTTGCCATGTATTATCTTTTAAAACCTTTTAGGAAGAAATATCAAATGTAAAAACAATAATTTGTCGTAAAACTTTCAAAAAAAAAAAAAAAGAAATTTAATTTCACTTCAAAATTGATCATTGATACCAGGAGGCACTAAATAGATATGTGCTACATAAATCATTCGATTTGTGTATGGGTTGGGATACTGCTTGAGTGTCCAAACAGAAACAGGTGGTTTTCTTAAGGAGCCATTCCCGGAATTTGTCAGTTAAAAGTTTAATCCACAAAGCAGTGGAGCAACGTCAGGAGATACAATCCCATGGTAACCGGTGATCAACGATTCGTTCATACGCCATTTATTCCCTCAAGATCATGTAGCCGATTCGTACCATTGGTTTGGAATCAGCGTTTTCCAACTCCCCTAGGTGGATCCTCTATATTCATCAACCCGGTTAATGTACCGGACATTCGCTTTTCATCTTCTCAATTTAGTAAATAATACCTGTGGTACGAGAGGGCAGTGAGTAGGACTTCCCTGTCAGTGGTTATATGCAAGTGGTCATGTAAGAGCATTTGGAGAGATGTAGTTGTCTCTCCCCACTCTCGGCCGTACCATGGCATCTGTAATTAAGCATATCTTACACGAGATTAGAATGGATGGTTTGATAAAATAAATTGGGTGTCAAATGTGAATTATTTGATTTCGACTTCGATTATTACCCCTAAGAACTTCAGACAAGTTTGCTGGACGAAGCGTTGAAATCATTTTAAATTTCAATCACTGAGGCGTTTGCAGAGAACGGTACTGGGTTCGAGTCCCAGAGTAAACATCAAATCTGCGATCCAGGCACATCGATCTGACGAGACCCAACTAGGGTGAAACGTGCGTCAAACTGGACTCCAATGCTAGCCACTATCCGTCATTGGTTACAAAGCTTGTGACGTAGTTAAATTGAATTCATGAGTTAATTAAAGCGAGACCGCCATGGAGAACCTGGAAGCACTGGACGGCCGCGAGCAAGATCGTAGGTACTTACTGCTGAGGAGTCCCACAATGGGACGAAACAGTCGTCTAGTGCTTCCAGGTTTTCCATGGTGGTCTAACATCAATCGGCTCATGATCCCAATCAAAACTTAACAATCTCCACAACACTTAAACTTAATTTATTTGATTTGTGAATTTATTGAATGAAAATAAATGTAATTACCCTTGAAGAATCAACTTAAATGTATATTACATTAATAGACATGAGAAAAATGAACAAGAGTTGGATGAAACTAGAAAGAAAGGCCCAGGACAGAGTGGGTTGGAGAATGCTGGTCGGTGGCCTATTCTCCATTAAGAGTAACAGGCGTAAGTAAGTAAGTAAGTAAGCAAGTATATTACATTAAGTTATCCAGATTGATTATACTGAAAGTCAATGAAATAGTGATTACATAATACATTTTTGTTTAAAAATTTTCTATTTAATTTACCTCAGAATCTGTTAAATTCATATCTCCTGGTCTTGTTAATGGATCAAGCATAGTAAATAATGCATTAGGTAATCGACATAATCCTTGTATTATACATATGATAGCTATATGTAATACTTCAAATTGATTTCTTCTTGTTATAGTTGCAAAACTTTCAGCATATCTTGGACGTATAATTAAATCATCCATAAAATAAGCACGTATTATTGCTAAACCTATACATATATTTATTAATGCAAATGAACAATCAATAATCATTCCAGTTATCCATTGATAATCAAAATAACTAGCTGCTAATTCAGTAGTCTTTCTAGTGATATCGATTTCTGTAAAAATATCATATCGATGCATTGATTTCATAATAAACCAATATTGTAATCCACCAGCAACTTCACATCTTGTCAATGGTTCTAATGATTTTAATGATGTTATTGATGATAATGATGACGATGATAAAGATGATGATGATGATGATAAACTCAATTGATTAGCTGAATGTGTTATCTCATATTCAACATTATAATATTGTATACGCCAATAGGCTATTTCAATTAAACCATAAATTCCAGCTAATAGAATAACACTAATTGAGATACGTATTGATTTACGATGATTACCATCAGCTATAATCCAACGTAATATAGTATTTGATGGAAAATTTGTTTCTCTTTGTAATAATACAAGTGTTTCAATACCTAATGTAATAGTAATGAATACAATAGCTAAACGATTACCTGTCCATATACAATGAAATAATGGACATATTAAATTATTGATTGCTAATAATCCTGTATCCCATGGTTTATCTAAATCCATTATAATAACTAGTATACATTGAATGAAATGTAATATTGATAAAATCAATAAATATATAGATAATGAACCATAACCATAAGGATTCATTATAATTTCAGAATCTTGTCTTAATGATTTACGCCATTGTGGATTAGCATATATAATAATACATATAATACAACCAATTAAACCAATTGGTATCCATAATGGACTAATATATCGATCTAAATTATTGATTATTGGTGAAAATTGTTCAATTAATAAATAAAATCTTGAATAACGTGAAAGAATATCTAAATGTTGTAGACCAGATGATTGTGTAATACCTGAATTTAAAGTTGTTGTTGATGTTGTTGTTCTTGTCGATATTGTGGTTTGAATAACCTGTAAAGATAGATAGATAGATAGATATGTTAAAAAAACAAATTAAAAATGATAAACCATAAAAATTCGTAATTATCTTTAGTTGTCACCCGTTGACCAGATAGAATCAACAACAACCTACTGTTGGAGAGAATAAACTCGATTCGAATGAAGGGAGAAATCGGGAAGAAGCACTGGAAGTGAATAGGACATATATTGAGAAAAGCACCCAACTACGTCACAATACAAGCCGTAATTTGGAATCCACAAGGTCAAAGGAGGAGAGAAAGACCAAAGAATACATTAAGGCAAGAAATGAAGACAGATATGAGAAGAACGAAAAATAATTGGATAGAACTAGAAAGGATGGTCGAGGACTGAGTGGGTTAGAGGATACGGATCGGCGGCTTATACTCCATTTGGAGTAACAGGCGTAAGTAAGTAACTAACTAACTAAGTAAGCAAGTGAATAAGTAAGTAAGTCTAGCTGTCACGTATGAAAATGGTATGACTGTAAGCTAATAAATCACTGTAACAGATGGAAAACTGTACAATTTCAATTAGTAGTTATCCATTCAAGTCTTTTCTCAATTTTATTTCCTTATACCTTCCTTATATTTGTTGTATCAATAATATTACTCTTAAGATAGATATGAATTCATCATTTGCTTCAGATTATATTTAAATGGAAAGATAGAACATGATTTATTACCTTGTTAAACAGTTATGAAAAAATATAAAAACCTTTTCAATGTAACTTACTATGAGGTTTATAAATCAAATATAACCTTGATAGAGATGAGAAACCTATCAAGATTGATCAAGAATGATTGCTTATCAATTTCAATTATTACAATACATTGAATTCATATCTGTTCATAGTAAATGTAATGATCATGTGTAAGATGATTGTGTTTGCTTATTAACTTATTGATTCATATGATATTTTGTACTTTCTTTTTAAATTGATGCATTTCGTTACATTTTGGGATCAACAAGATAACTATGAATTAGATAATATTAACGACTAAACGTATTAGTGATATACATTTGTAATTTATCTTTTAAACTAAGTTTTTATCTTATAAGTAAAGATGGATAGGGGCTAGCAGTAGAATCTAGGATGAGTGTTTCGTTCTATTTGAGACTCGTTGGTTGGATGTACCTGTATCGTAGAGTTGATGTTCACTCCGGGTTGTAGGTACATTCAGCTGATGAGTCCCGATTAGGACAAAACGTGCGTTAACCTGGATTCCAATGCTAGACACTACTGATTTTTGATTAGTAAGCTTGTGATCTAGGGCAATATCGAGGCAGTCCGCACAGGATACACATATGCCAATAAGAGGCTGATCGATTGCAGTCCTAAATAACAATAGGAAGATACAAGTAAACCACACGAAGCGAATTTAAAACTTCACCCCATTACACAAGCAGGTGGCTATCAGGACTCAGTAGCTAAGTGGATGACGTGATGGCGTTTGTAGTGAACGTTACTGAATTCGAGATTCGGAATGAATATCAACTCTGTGATGTAGAAATATCCAACTAACGAGTTGTAAATAGAATGAAACGTGCGTCAAACTCGATATCACTGCAAGCCACTACCCATCTTTGTTTATAAACACTTCAGTTCAGTTTATTTAAATCAGTACTCATTTTATTTTAAGCTTGTAAGTAGCTGAAAATAGAATAAATGAAATAAATGAACTCATCCTATTCTGATGGATTTTTTCTTTCTGAACCAGATGGTTTGGTCATGAAGCTTTCATCGTTCTTCTGAACAACATCATCAGCACAAATATTACCATCTCATCTTATTCTACTATGTTTATTTTTCTTGGGATATGAAAATTTACCGAGGTGGAACACTGTAGGAAAACGAAATATTTTTTCTAATTCAAAGCAACTATTAAATATAATACTAAAAATATACGTAGAGTAGATTTGCATATTACATCTGTGGTGAACAAGAACACAGAAGGGAATAATGGAATGTAATGGAGCACAACATTACAGAACATGTTAGTTAAATCTGAAAACTATACAGTGAATACTTCATTTGTAAAATGTCAACCAATTGTCTTAGACTTCATTGTTCCGTCGTCCCCACACCAATCACTCTCTGTTCTCGTTCTCTTTTCTTCGATCTTCTTAACCTTCTGCTGCTAAGCCTTTCAGTTTCGATTGCTGATATATACTACTTATATCTGACAATATCAGTAGCATACACTTTGATTTGACTTTTAGGCTTTAAACATCTTTGAACAACGTTATCAATGTATGTTTCGATTACAATCAAATCTATCAGCCATATGTAGAGCATGCAATCATAATAATATCAAACATGTTATATGACAAAATACTAATCAGCGATCCTTAGTCAATGCCCCGTGGAAACAATTTATATGGAGGGGGATGTTGTGGAGATAACTGAATTTTATGGTTCACATCTAAAATTCACGATGTAAATGATAACTATTTCATTTTAGTATGTAACTTCTAATAGGACACTAAAAAAACCTTGTAATGACTTTCAGTTTTCACTAATCTGAAGGTTATCACTTCAACACTATGAATAGAAAACAATCTATTACTTAAAACGTAATTGTCTACTTTAGATCCACTTGTGATTTCAACTATAAATTTCTATCAATCCCTATACTGATTTCGATAATTAACAATGCAATCCCCGCCCCTCCCCCTCCCAAAAAAAACATAATGAAATATCGTGTTTATGTTGATTAGCTGATAAGAAAACCAAATGAATAAAGGATTTACACTTGAATTCATGATTGTACCATAATTTTTTTTGTTTTGGTTTTTTTTCATTTATGCTACAATTGTAACTAGTTAACAAAAGAATTTTTCAAAGAAAAAAAAAACGAGAAAAAGAGAAAAAAGAAAAAAAGAAAATGAAAAGAAAAATTAAAATTATTCTTTTCTATATTTTATTTTATTATTTCTCATTATACTACTGAATATTATTGATAATAATTTTCTAGATGATTTCATATTGTTTGTTTATTTTTATTCATTAATTTTTATTTTATTCATGTAGAATATAAGTTCAATGATTTAGAAATGAATAAATAAACTATACTGGTACAACTGAGAGTGAGGCGAGTCAACTCTCCCCTCTAGAAATGCTTTCTCATGACCATTTTCGTATAACCACTAATAGGAAAGTCCTACTGACTGTCTTTTCGTGGTATTACTGTTGAGAGAAAGAAAAGTGAACGTCCGGTGGGGGGTTTTAAACGAGTTGGTGGACAAGGACAGTTCACCCAGAGGAGGTAAAAAAAACCCTCATTTCAAACCAATGGTATACATCGACTCCAGTATCCTGAAGAAACAAATAGTGTATGAACCAATTGTTGGTCACTGGCTACCATTAGACTACATCTCCTTACATTGCTTCACTGCCTTGTGGATTAGACCTTTAGGTCAAAGGCTCCGGGCATATCCTTCTAAGAAAACCACCTACTTCGATTTGGGCACTCGGGCAGTATCCCAGCCTTTACACAAATCGAATGATTTATATAATGCCTATCTATTTTGTGCCTTCTTCTACCATTGTTTATGTATTTAAACAACTAATAAATAGATTGAAATGTATGTAATTTCTTTAAATAATCAAAATGGAAGAAGTAAAACAAAATGTCGTTTTAGTATTTGTATATCTATCTAATTGTATAATTGATATTACTTTTCAGAGGAACAATCATCTGTGAATGAACAAATTAGATTTTACATGATTCATTAGGAATTTTAAGATCAAAATCATTCTTTACAATGTTATCATGCTTGAATATCTGGGCTACCTGTTCCTTTCCATCTAGATATTTCAATAATTTATCTGTTTTCTTATTTATTTTAATACATTATGTCGATTAATCATATAAACTATTCAGATGCATTTCTGAAATGTGTTAGATAAAGCACCTAATCAGAAATACCATGGTTGATGGCATTATGAATCGAAAAGAATGTACATTATTTAGATGTCAATTAACTGAACTGCTAACTTCTAACTGACAACCATTCAATATTTATCGTCAAGATCGATCAAGAAGTAAACAAACAGAAACTTGTTGAAATACTTTGTGATGACAATTCTATATTGTAACAAAAATATAATATTGAATGAAGCTACTACTACTTCTACTGTGCTGCGTGCTTTTTATATTGACATAAGTAGCATATGATGTTAGTCGTGAACAGAATGTCTGGCAGCAGAGATACAAGAGGATCGGACAGTAATGAATGAAAACAAAATGTAATTTGTATGAAAACACAAAAACAATAAAGCCTGAGTCATTCTGAGAAAATAGATGGACATTTTGCAAATTAAGCATTAAATATATGGTTGTTAGATTTTATTAATAAGTCCTGTAATTTTGTATTAAATACATTCGATTGTCCCCACTGGTGTTCTTGTTCACTACACTACTACTACTACTAATAATAATAATAATAATAATAATAGTAATAATAATAATAATAATAATAATAATAATAATAATAATAAAGAGAATTGTGGAATTGTAGCTAATTTCAGTTTGTGACAGAAACCATAACACTATTTACTAACCTTAACTTCCTATCCGAATTCCTCACATTAATTCATAGCCCTAATTTGAACCCCGTAAATGGTTAGAGTTTACCAAGGTCATTTTTATGTCCCTCAAAGGTCATCCGTAAATCATACTGTCGACGATTTTTCTTATTCAAAATTCATTATA